TTCTTTTACAAAAATTATAATATAACTTACAACCAGGTTGTAACTGACGATGATTGATGAGAGCCGATGATGGGTCCTATTGGAGGGGTCCTGTAATGTGCGTTAGTGGTTGTATTATTTGTTTACAGTTTAACTTATACTTTCTTAAATGCTTTACCCTACAGAATGGAAGAAATTGATAAACTAGATTACTGCCCGGTAACCCTCACGGGTACCTTCGATCATTCAAAGGAACTGTACTTAGGACCGAGAACTCAAATAAATGTAGAAAATCATCAGGGTGGAGGAGGAGGCATATTTTCTTCCACAAAATCCGGATATAATATTATTACACCTTTCAAACCAAATGATAGAGAGTGAGCCAATTTCGACCAAGAATTTTACATTTCTAACAATATTTGGACTTCTTCCACAATGAAAAAATAATATTGGTTTTCTGTCTACTGTTTACAGCTACTACATTTTAATTAATAGAGGATGGGTGCCTTCTGATCGCAAAAACCCAGCTCATCGTACAGAAGCTCAGATTACTGGGGAAATCACTCTCAATGGAATCATAAGGCTACCTGAAAAAAGAGAACCATTTATGCTGAAAAACAATCCTGAGCGGAATCAGTGGGTGTACAGGTATGCTGTTGTGTTTTGCTTGACAGACTACTGAAGTATGTATTTCCCACCTAAGTTTTTAAAGGCTCCCCTATTTGGTTTTAAAGGGATGTTGATAAAATGGCAGAGGTAGCTGGAACAGCTCCTATTTTCATTGATGCTGCAGAAGATTCATGGATACCTGGTGGGCCCATTGGTGGTCAAACAAATCTTTCTATTCGCAATGAGCATATGCAGTACATAATAACATGGTACGGTATTTTTTAAAAGCATTCTTCCCACAAATTATTGAGCTTTTTAAAAACTCTTTTTTTGTGTGTTCTCTTTTAGGTTTTCACTGTGTGCAGTCACATCTTACATGTGGTATCATCAATATGTAGCTTCCACAACCCTAAGGGGAAGGCTCAGGTGATTTTTTTTTCCTCTTAAAAGTATCATAATCTTCTTTCCCAACAGAACTACTCTTGGTCAGTTTATGCAAATAATTTTAATCTCATCTATCTAGCCTCAATCATTTAATTGTCTCATGTCTGTTGGACCTTCAAATGCCTAACTCACAAGTATGGCTGTGATTGACTTTCCCATCTCTGAAAGTGTATGTAGCTAGGGCATATAGACAATAAAAAAACTTTTCAAAAGATCACATTGCTATTTTATGTAAAGCCACTATCACTTATCTCTAAAAATGATTCCTATACAGGGGTTGGTGTTATTCCTGTTTCCTTGTTTACTCAAAAAGTTCTAAATATAATTTCATTTCTTCAAACACTTTTATTGTTTCAGTTTTTGCATGTATTATTTCCCAACATCGTGATTTCATTCCTCCCCTTCCTCTCTACTCTACTAGAAGCTCAGCAAATGAGTAAGGAACTAAAGAAAATAATATTTCAATTTTATTTATTGTCCTCAAGATAATTTGGATGATCTGCTATCTGTGATATCAGCTCTATGAATGCCTAATTCACACAGGACTATTTGGAAACTGCAGATGAATACAGGCAATTGCATTTAATAAACTTAAACATTATTTTTCAGACTGTTCTGATATATGGAAGAAATGATTACTGTACATAAATTCTCTACCTACATAAAGTATATGAACAGTGAAAAAATAACTATTTTACAGTAGTACATTAATTTCTTTAACTTGTTACATCACTGTTTTTTACGCTTCAGAAAACTTCGTCCTCTCCAGCGGCCTCCTTTGCCACCACGCATAGGCTTACCACTTCCATCTTCAACAGGCTTGTGTACATTGTGTAAAGCTGAATACAGAAGGTCAGCATCTTGACTATTTAAAGTTAGTTCAGACAATTGTTCCTTGGAGAGAGAAATGAGGTGAGAGAGTGATTGACCCTTCCGGAGGACAGAACTCACATTCTTTGTATTTACACCTGGAAGCTTAGAAATAAAGTCCTGGAAAAAAAAGTGAAGAAAAAAGTAGATGAATATGTAAAATTATTGTACAGAAAAGAATATAGTAAGACTGTTAATCCATATTATTTCCTATTACTTGGATTGCAATGTTGAATTTTTCTGCAAATTCATCATCACCGCTTGCCACCTCAGCTCCAATCATAGCAGCTTGCGATGCATTTGGCTGCTCTCGTCCTTCCTGTGAAATTATAAGTCACTGTTGTAAGATATGTAAGATATAATAATCTATGATTAGTGAAAAAACAAATCAAGATTTTTAAAAAACTTTACCTTCAGCTCCTCAAAAAGTTGCGCAGTTGCATATGGGCTTGGAGACCAAACAAGCCGTAATCGTGGAAAATGCATGGTAAGTAGTATCAATTTGGATGATATGTCACTTGCTGAAATGTCATTGCTTAGATAATATCTGCCCTGCAAACACACAACAATTACCCTATTGCATGCAAGATAAATTTGAAACTATCCCAGTTGTTACAACTCTGTACTTGCCTGCAGTGCAAATGGTTTTTTGTGATCAAATTCAATCAACAACATAGGCTTTGAATAGTGTCTTGACATAGCTGTGGCTTGTGTATACAGTCGTCCATTGTTCAATGATCCAATTAAATCACTGACACTCTTACGTTCAACACAAATTTCAGGTGTAAGAATGTAATCTCCAACCTAGATTAATAATTTCGGAAATGAAAATAATGAAGGTCAACAATCAATAGTAGAAGATGCTGCAATCTTATGAAGAATTTCTCACATTGATGGTGACAGGCTCAATTTCAATACCACGGCGATGAATTAAAGCTGGTAATTCACTTCTGAATTCTCGCATGTCAACAATAATAGTTGGTGCACTTGCTGGAGCTTTTGGAATACCTCCTTTACGTGTGTTTATGTTTGGCAATCCTGCAGCAACAGAGGCTGACTGTCCGACATCACGTCGAAGTTCAGCACAGTCTCCTGATTTGCCATCTTGATCAGCTGGTATTACCATAGACTGTTTTAAGACATAAAGCAATCTTTAATAGTGGAAATACGTTGACAGCAAACTAAATACTAATGAAACTTAGTTCTCACCGCTTTTTCTTTGATCAGGTACTCAAAAGCTTCTTTCTCTTGTCTTAATGTAGTGAGGTAAGCTTGCTCTTCTACAGAGCCACCATACATTACAAAGTATGTTGTTAAATCAACACTCGGTGACGAGCTTTGGAATACCTGAAGCAGGAAGAAAATTACTTGTGTAACATTAGAGTAAATAAAAAATCGTGGTGAAACAAAATGGATGGAATTCTACGTACTTCAAGTTGCCTGACTGCAGATAAATCAGCATCATACATAACAACAGTATGAGGTTGAATTTGCTGTAAAGTTTTAGTCAAAGCTAAAGGATCCCCATCTTTTTTGAAAGATTGTATTGTGATTATGGGCAACAGCTGGTCAGACTGACTTTGTGATAAGCTTTCAAGCTAGAATCAAACAGAGACGAAAGTTTTAGAGTTTACACAGTTAAGGTACAGGGAAACAAAGAGGATTTGAGAACACTTACATTCTCTTGTTCCTCAAAACAGGACATATTTGCAGGGTCATTGGAGCTCTTGGAAGGCTCTTGCTGTGTCATAGTTAAACAGTAACTGTCTTTAATATCTTCTTCAGTGTCATCTTGAGGAAACCCAAAAGAATCATGATTGAATGCTTCTACTTCATCCTCACCAAGCCAATTATCAGGATCATCAGGATCCAAACTTTTCCTTTTCAGTACTGAAGAATCCTTAGCCAGACCAAATTGAGCAATGACTGCTGGTGTACGATGGTGAGTAGCTCGTCTGAATAGACTTTGAAGCATTGCTTTTGATCCTTTTGTAAGATACTGAAATTAAAATTTAATTTACAAATAAATGTTTCATTGCCTAACTTAAATAATTAAATATTCTACAATAACTATAAATACCTCCTTAAGTTGATTTCCGGTCCTGATGTCTTCCACTAGAACAAGTACATGGTTAATGCCTTGTGCTGCATCATTAGATGGTACCCCTTTGAGCTTTTCTTGGACCTCACCAAGAATTTCAGACAAGGCTACCCATTTAGGTGCATGTTCAGGATTTATTTCTGAGTCTTTGGAAGCTGAATTGCTTCCACAAACACGCTGGGATGCTAACAGAAAAAGGTCTTCTGCTGGATCTAAGAGCAACCAGCCGGAATTTCTTCTTGCATATTCTGTGCTTCGAAGTGAGGTCACAAGAGAGTTGAAAGTTACACAGTCATACTGTGTTAAGCACCTGTTCATTAGAAAAAATATGATATTTCAACATCTTTCAAAATATTTGCACCCATGAGAGTCAATTTATTACTATTACCTCAAAACAGATCGTAATGTTTTTATATCAGCAACAAGTTGGCGAGTTTTGGAACTCAGTTGGTTCCAAATTGGATCCAATTGATATTGAAGAAGTTTATGAAAAGATTTAGAAATGGCATTTTCCACAGTTAAGTCATCTGTATCCAGCTGAGAAGGTGTTGCAATGTCAAGCATGAAAATTAACACTAGTAACATTTTATCTTGTATAAGGATGTACTTTGATGTCTCTTACTTACAGATGGATTGACTCTTTTTATCTCTTTCACACAAAAACTCATGAGATCTAAAACACAATTTTGAAGGCGTTGCATGGGAGTTGTCATGTTAACATGTAGTTCCACAACTGACACCTGGTTTGATGTTCAAAATTAGGAAAAAAAGGAATTAAGAAGCAAAGATTAATTACATCACTTGCTCAGTAAAACTTACTTTTCTTAAACTGGTAGAGACAACAGCATGGAAACGAGGCCATAGATACAAATTCTTTACAAATAAAGTTTTCATAATCCGCTCCACTTGAGCAAAGCCGACGGTAAATGACTGGGCTGAGCTTGAAAATGCTTTGACAAACCCCTTCTGTAAATAGAACAACTTGATTATGATCATTTTGTCATGTGATTGTCTAATTAGGGAGCAATGAATAATTTACATACCTTGTTTTTCTGTCTGTACAAGCGAACAGCAAATGCTTCTTGGCATGATTCCAGTATAGCATGAGCACGACATACCATCATACCTGTGACATTATCCACAGGAACACGATTCTTAAGAAGGTCAACAACTAAGATCCTTGCAGAAACAAATAAGACTCCACCTTGCAGGTAGATATTTTCCCTGGAAAAGTGGTCAGCATATTTAATGTTATTTAAGATTGTGTTAACTGAAATGGACAGAAATAGGTACTTATAAGATAAGACATTTTACCTGTCATTTGCATTAGACTCATTGTTGATAATTTTGGGGAGGGGTTTGATACCTTGTGCCTCAAGTTCAGTTATGAAATATTCTTCTTCCTGAGCATGTGTACCCAGAACTAGTACCAGATTTCCAGAATCACACCAAACCTTTAACAGGCTCAATATGACTGAATGTAAACTTAAACCCCTGTTTAAAAATTGGTAAATGCAAGCAAAATTAGAGGAAATATGTCAATACAAGCTAGAAAAAAAAAAACTGCAATATTTAAATTTAAGAGTAATATAAAATTATAAGCAGGATGAATCAACCATGAATTAGACAAATGGTATATGAATTGTTATACACACCTCGCTGCTACTACAAGGCCATCTTCATGTAAAACATCAAGGAAAATTTGATTTTCATAAGGTAACATATTGCTAAAGGACTAGTACTTCCAACAAAATACTAATGAAAGGCCAAATTAATGCCCAAAGAGCAGAGACCTCCCCTTCTTCACTCTGGAAATTTAAGGGAAAAAGTCAAGATTACTTTTAATGTAAGATTATAAGGATTGTGTGTTAATCCTAAAAAAGAAGTTAAGAGGTTGTTTGATACACTATGACCATAGAAGTATACATGTAAAAGTCATTAGACATACCTCTGTTTCATCCAAATCAAGCCCCTCTATATCTCTAGAATTTCTTGAATCTGAACGCCTGGCCCTCACACTTTGTGAATGCTCATCTGTTCTATCTCCTTGAACCTCTTCTTCTATATCTTCAAAACTGCTGTTGTCTCTTGAAAATACATCGAATTCCGGGTTTTCATCATCACTATAAGTTGCCTCTAGTTGGTAGTGGCTAATATCATGGAAAGTATGACCATAAACCCCAATCCCAATTGGTCTTTTAAATCTGGCAAGTAAATAAACACACAATTAGAGAAAAAAAACATAAATAGAATACTTTACAAAATTAGTAATGGGAACTTAGGTACTTACGAAGCAGGAATATGAACAGTATCTATACCACAAGTGACAGATTGTAAACAATGGGAATCTGGTTCATATGTTGGTTTGGATATGTGTTGAGAAATGTATAAATCAGCATCCCCTACACTGAAATAATGAACCTAAATTAGTTTTACTGAAAAATAATTTTACAGGACACAAAAGGTGAGAAACTCAGGTAAAACTTACTGAGAGTACAAGTTTAAGGTAATAGGACCATCAAACATCAATATGTAGTAGGTAAATTGTCCTCGGCTAACTTCACCAGAAACAGAATGCAGTAGTTGTCCACAGTGCACAGTGCTCCATGCCTACAAGTATTTTAAATCAAACAATACAACACTACGTAAAGATTTCACCACTCAGAACTAAGTCTTTCAGATGTAATTCCATCAACAAGAATTTTTTATAGATATATTCAACTAAAAAACTAAACTGCGACAGTTCAATGTGCAAGTCTATGTACATGGGAAGAAAAGGAAGCTCATAAAAAACCATTATACAAGATTAGCTTAATCATGTGACTTGTCAAAAAGGTTTGTTTTCGGAGCCCTGACCTTTCCTATCCAAGAATGTGTAACCCATAACACTTTGCGTAGATTTTGAGTTGACAAGGTTTTGTTTCTTAACAAGATTAAACTTAAGAGTGCAAAATTTAAAAAGAAGGAAGGTCAAAAGTTGCATGTGAACTTACAAGGCAGAGAAGAAATACAAATAACTTCATTCTTCATGACAATTCCTGACAGAGCTCAATTCCGGGACACACAATCCTTAAAAATCCCTGAAACAACCGAGAATTTAAATTACTTTTACATACTGAAGGGGTTGTGACATGTAAACCACTTCCTAGATTGTGAACGTTCACAATCCTGTACAGGAGTCATTTCTGAAAATGAACATCTTACTATAGTTGATAAGAAAGCGCACGATGAATCACGAGCAGAATGAAATGAACAAAAGTTAACGTGACATAGGCACAATAATTTAAACATTACAAGGCTTTTAAGAGTGCAAGGTGTGATGAAATCCTAATTTTATAATGGGATAATGTACCTAACCTGCATTTGGAATGGTTAATACAACTGAACGAACATTTGGAATACTGATATTACTTTTAGAGGAACAAAGATACAGTATACTCAAAGTCACAGTGCGGTTCAAGTGTCATGTCTTACTTCCTTCAACACACAACGACGATTCAAACTAATTTTGATTGAACCAGAAATACACTTCTCCAGCTTGAAATAACCTCCAAATGAATTATTGGCAGTGGTGACCGGTCCTTGGAAGTTATTTGCACAATATAGCAGCCGTCGTAAACACTTAAAATGGCGTTGTAGTGGTCTGCGTCGGATTGACAAGAAGTGTCGTTACCTCAAAATAAGAGTATTTTGTAAATAAAACAACAATGCAAAGGTTTTAAATCATCGCATCATGGAAGAATCTCAACCCCAGCGTACGGTCAAAATGACTGAAGTCCAAGTGGCCAATATTTTAAATGACTTCATGGTGAGTATAACTTTCGAAACCGGCGAAATTTTAACCAAAGTCATTTCTTTATGCAGCTGTTGATTTGATTTCAACTGAGTTCTTTTTAAGTTATTATTAAATTTTAAAAAATGTGTTTGTCTACTGATTTATATTTCCTCTTTTGTCCCTGATTTCAGCGTACTGAGGCTGTTGAAGAGGGCCTTAGTTGTTTTCTAATGCAAAGGCCAGAAACAGACCGTATGAGCACATTGAAATCTGAACTCAGTACAATTCTCTCTAATTTACCTCAGCAACATCAAGAAGCCGGAGTGAAGCAATACCTTAATTTAGCTTCGTTAATGACAAATTCCACTCGACTGCAGCTTCTATTGAAAGTTTTGCATGATTTAGTACAGAAAAATGTACTTCAGGCGCAGTAAGTTATTTCCAATCATTTGCTAACAAATAGCTCTGTTTTAGTACTGTCATAATTGACATTCATTATTTCTTAGGATGGTATGTGAATGCATCTTGATGTCTGAGAAGCTTACATATAAGAACAGTGTATTTTGGATTGAGTGTTTTCATCTCATCAAGAAAATAATTGGTGGTGTTTATTATAAAGGAGTCAGAGATATTATGAAGGTAGGCAATTTAATCTGTATCAGCTTTCAAAAGTTTTTGAACTGTAATATTTCTAGTTCATCTGCTATCCTTTTAACAGATATGTCGGGAGAAAGTACAGACCCTACCTGTCAGACTTACTGCATCAGTCATGCCCCAAATGAAGGCAGTTGAAAGTGTTTTGGAACATTTATTTGACCGCAGTGCATGTCTTTTGCCAGCTTACCTCCTCATTAATGAGGTCATGAAGAATAGTACTGATGGGAAATCCTGCCCACACTGGGTAAAAGACCATATGTGTGGCCTCATTGTATTGACAATTTCCTAATCAAATTTAAAATTAATGTAATTTTATGTTTTTTGCAGAAACTTGCTCCATTGCTGTCAAATTTTATTGAAAGTTTTCGACCTACTGCTCAAATGGTTTCTATCATTGGGCGAGGCAAAATGTTACCCATAGTGTTAGGCACAGGTATTTCTGACCAATATGCACTGCCCTGGCGACTTGATGCTAACAGCCTCAAACTTCCTCTTAAGGGTACATTGCCCTATGATCCACACTTATTAGAGCCTCAGCAAGCTCTCTTACTTCATGTTCTGGATCAACCATACAGCCGTGATATGGTGTGTGCTATGCTAGGATTCCAGAGACAGGTATGCTTTTTCATTGATTCTGATAGAATTGTCCTTTTACCCTGAAACAATGTTTATTACTATTATTATTTATGTATATGCAATATTACTCAGAATTGATTCCCTTTGACATTTTATTCTCTTTTCAGAAAGCTCATGGCCATTGTAAACCTCTGGAAAATCAAATTGTTGATTTAATTGTGGTAGCAATGGAAAGAGCAGAAAATGAAAGTCATGCTGAGGGAAATATTCATTCCATGTGGCTTCATTTGTCTTCCCTTATCATATTTTTTGTTTTGGGCGGATATGCAAACTTTAACAATCTTTGCCAATCCTTGCATAACAGAGTAAGATAATCTAAACTCTCTTTATTAAGTATATATTTGGTCTTAAATTCATTGATAATGTTGTTGCTTTCCAGCTTTCTGCTAGAACTGACCTAAGAAAAGGAAGGGACCATGTAATGTTTGTGTGTCTACAATTTGTTACTGGAGCTATATCCAAAAACCCTGTAAGTAAATATTGTCTTCTTATTTCTATCTATCCAGCCACACCTAGTTTCTGTAATTTTATGTGTTATGCCCAAATTACATTTTTCAGCTCAGCGAATTTTTGAGTCTTTTAAAGCTGTATGACCTTCTATATCCAGAAAAGGAACCTTTGCCTGTTCCGGATATGAATAATCCTATGTGCACCCACCAATTGGCTGCCTGCTCTATATGGATTCACTTTTACATGAAAGCACAATCTGAAAAGCTGAGTCTTCATCGACCAATCCCTCCTGCTTTGCAAGCACATCATGAGTAAGTATTCTCATTAAATTGAGTACTTCAGAACTATGACTATTTTAATGAAAGTCCTAGCAAATCAACCACCTTTTCTTTCAGTTTCATTCAACATCTTCAACAACAACAGCAACAACAACACCAACAACAGCAACAGCAACATCAATCATCTCTCTATACTCTCAATAATGGCTGCGATTTTCGCATTGCAGTGCTCTGCAATGCTTATTCAACAAACAATGACAAATTGAGTCGCCCTATGTTAACAATAGTTGACTCAATCAAACATTCCAGTCAATCAAATCATTCCAATCCATCTCTTCAACCACCTTTTGTTCCACTGTCAATGACCATGTTGGATGCTATGACAGTACACTGTAAGATGACAATTATCCACCATATTGTGACTCACATTGTTAAAGCTGCTCAGTCAAAGTCCAATATGCCGCTACCCCCTGCTCTTGTAGAAACTTACAGTCGTCTTTTAGTTTATACTGAAATAGAATCACTTGGTGTGAAAGGATTTATCGTTCAGGTTCTCCCAACTGTCTTTAAAGCTCATGCTTATGGTATTCTTTACACATTGCTAGAAATGTTCAGCTATCGAATGCATCACATTCTGCCTCACTACCGTGTACAATTACTGTCTCATTTACATAGCTTGGCATCTGTACCACAGACCAACCAGACTCAGCTTCATCTTTGGTAAAGATTAATTCTACAGTGCCGTTTGAAAGTTATGATTATTTTATTTTTCTGTTTTAAAAGTATTTTTTTGTTTTTCAGTATGGAAAGCACAGCTCTCCGCCTTATTACTGGTCTTGCAAGCTCAGAAGTACAACCTGAGCTATCACGATTTCCCAATGAACCAAAAGCGCTTGTTTCTGCAGAATCTGAAGAGCTTAATCGTGCCTTAGTGTTAACTCTTGCTCGGTCCATGCACATTACAGGATCAGGACAAGAGCAAAGGGACAAAAGCCAGGTGCCATGGTGCAAAGAGTTGCTAAACACAATCATGCAATGCACACCGCACACATGGGCAAATCATACACTAGAATATTTTCCTCCGGTTTTGAGAGACTTCTTTCATCAAAATAGAGTGCCCATGGAGAACCAACACCAGCTCAAGAAAGCTGTTGAGGAAGAGTACCGAAATTGGTCAAACATGAGTAATGATAATGATATAATTAATCATTTTTCAGAACCTGGAACTCCACCCCTCTTTTTATGTCTACTCTGGAAGGTGAGACATACTTCTACAGACAACATAGATTAGTAAGTTGAGATTTTAAAACTAAAACACATAAAATTTTTGATCCTACCAGGTTATACTTGAGACGGAGAGAGTGAACCCAATAGCTTATACTATACTGGAACGTATTGGACCCCGAGCTCTTTCCACACATTTACGTAAATTTTGTGTTTACCTTGTGAATGAGTTTAGTGCGAGCTCAAGCAGTGGACAACAACAGCATCATGTAAATAAGTGTGTTGATGCTGTCAATCTTATGATATGGCAATATAACATCATCACAATTGATCGTTTGGTTTTGTGCCTCTCTATGAGACCTCATGAGGGACAAATGTGTTTCTTCATCATCCAAGTCTTACTTCTAAAGTCCTCAGAATTTCGCAATAGAGCTCAAAAGTTTGTCAGTGACAATTCTCCTGATCACTGGAAACAATCAAACTGGTAATTTGAATTTGAGTCTTGTTTTGAATTTAACTCCACTGATCTATTACATTCACTTGTAATTTTATGTCTTGTATATTTCAACAGGCATGAAAAGCATATGGCCTTCCATAAAAAGTATCCTGAAAATTTTGGTCATGAAGGCACTAGTTTGGAACAATCTGGTGGTAACACCAATGCTTATCCAATACCACCACTACCTGTTTACTTTGGAAATGTCTGCCTCAGATTTTTACCAGTAAGTTTTCTTCCAAGATGTGTAACTCTTTATGGGTTGACTGTTAACTATCTCAACCATATGATTTTCTTATTCTCAGGTTTTTGACAATCTCATTCACCGGTATCTTGAGATGCCAACAAGTGAAGTCAACAAGTCACTTGAGTCACTTCTAGAGCATCTTGGCTGTCTTTACAAGTTTCATGGTAAGCCTCAGAACATGTTGCTTTGTGCCAATTACTGGTTGTTTATTCAACCTATTTGTGGAAGGATTTCTATTTGTTTTGTTTTTTAACCACAACTTAATTCATTCAATTATTTTTAGACCGGCCTGTGACTTATCTATATAACACTCTTCATTATTACGAATCAAAGGTTCGTGATAGGGCAAGTTTAAAGAGACGCCTGGTGCAAGCTGTACTTTGTTCGCTCCAAGAACATAAAGTACATGGTTTTGGCTTAAGTGTACAGTACCAGCAGTATATGCTAGGTTCATCTGATAGCTGGAATCCAGACCTTGATTATTACAAGCGACTGATTGAAAGAATATGTGACAGTATCCTTTTAATATTTAAGAATCTAGAATAACATTGTTATTGGGTTACATCATGCTTTTCATGTTTTTCCTTGACACAAGTGTAGCTATGACTGGAAAGATACAACTTCATACAGATTGGCGCTTCAATGAATTCCCAAATGCTGCCTCTCATGTTTTATATGTAACATGTGTTGAGCTTATGTCACTACCCATGTCTCCTGTGGCTGTTGGAAACAGTCTGTTGGATGTTGTTACAAAAGGGTAAAGTGCCAAAATAATTACTTATTACTCTGACCCAACTCAAGTGTTTTGGATGTAACTTAACCATTTTCTATTGCAGATATACTGTAATTCCACCTCAACAAATAATGAGTTGGATTAATGCAATTGGACTAGTTATGGCTGCTTTACCAAACTCATACTGGCAGGCCCTCCATGAACGACTAGTATCAGTTATTAACTGCCCACAAATGTTGCGGTGGCCATACCGTAACTCACCATTTCAGATGTTCAATTTTCAAGATACTCATGATTCTATGCTTGAAAACAAGTTCTCATATGCCTTGGCTCTTGCTCATTCTATATGGCATCATGCTGGGAGTGGTCAAATATTTCTGTTACCACGGTAAGCAAATCAATATTTTAATCTCCAGTTATTTTTTTTATCTCACCTTCTCACACTCATAATAAAAGTAATGCAATCTGTATTTGAATTGATACCGCCATTATTTTTTTTGAGAACCAAAATTTATCATATTATGTTGTTTATTGATTTCAGGTTTGTAAAGGAACATTTATATCCAATCATACGCACTGAAGAGCAGCTTCTCTTCCTGTGTCATCTCATTGGACCCTTCTTTCAGCGTATACATGCTGAAACTCACCCACTAACAGAACTTACTGTTGCTTTGTATGAAACTATTGAACAGGTTGATCAAAATGTCCCCTACCTTCACCATATGGACACAATTTGTGACCTGTTGTACCATATTAAATATATGTTTGTTGGGGATGTCATCAAAGCCGAATTAATGGCTATCATAAAGAGACTGAGGCCTTCCTTGCAAATGCGATTAAGATTCCTAGTTCATTTATCTCTAGATGAAATTAAAGGCTGTTAGATTGTATTATTGTATATATTTATATATGAATGTATAAAGTCAGAAGTGTACAGCATTTTTATTAATTTTATTGACTAGAAGTAGTTACTGACAGGATCATGTTATGCAAGATACTTAATTTAAGCACAATTTGTTTTGATTTCTTTCTTTTTTTTTCTTTTTTTTATTATCACAGGGTCTCTTGTGTCCTCTTAACTGAAAATGAACTAGTTAGTTTTTGTTATTCTGTACAACCACGTGAATGTTTTTATTTCAAGAATCCTTCAGATAATTTAGAAAATTATGGTTATAATTTCAGGAGATAAGCTCAGATTGTTAGTACAAATATGATTTTTATACCCATGTTTTTGGTCGTATAAGTAGTACTACTTGAGATTTCCCCGACTATGTAATATGCATTGCAGACCCAGCTTACCCCGCGTTTAAATGAAATCAATTTTCTGAGCAAGTTTAAATAAAATCCCTTTTTTTTCTGAACTGTAACTCTGTTGTAACAATACTGACCGAGGCACATTTTTCCCTATTTTGTAGTTTGCGGCGCGGGGACCAAGGGTTAGGACAAAAGACCAGCCGACATGGGGAGGTGGCCTTGACCGCCCACTCAGCAGCCCCCCCCCCCCCTTTCTGAAAAAAATAAAATAAAAATAAAAATAACCACTGAGTTTTGACGTGTCTGTCAACAGGAGCAGGCGACAGCTGAGTGGCAAACGCGCTTGGGTGTGGTCCGGAAACAATCGGCTCAGGGATCGAATCCCAGCTGCGGTACTTTTTTCCCGCTTAGAGCGGGCACGTCGGGTAAGAATTGTGGCTGTGGGCGCCGCGGGGTAGGCAATCACGCGCTCTATAGTGTTTGTCCGGGGCCTTTCGGCTTGGCAGGGCTTATGTGCTGATTGGCTTCGGCTTACACCCTGGGGGCGTCGGGTATCATGTAATGCACGAAAAAGGATTTTCTATAGTCAGGTCAGATTAAGCTGACTCTGGCGGCAGGATTTATGGCCACAAACGGGGACGTCTATTCTACCCTTAGCGGTTTGTCCACCCAAAAGTGATTTTGACGTGACTGTTCTATTTTGACATATGACTCTTGCCCTGAAATTCTCCCTTGGCAGCCGTGTAAAGTTGAGGTTCAACGGGACGTGCGCCGCACTGGCCGCCCACAACGTCCTTCGCCTAAAAAAAGGGATTTCACTTTAACTGGCTCAGAAAATGGATTTTATTTAAACAAGGAATCAAAAGTGAAGTCAGAATGAGTTTTAAAAACAAAGTTCTTTCAGTCTTAAGACTAAATTAGGAAAAACAGTCAAACAATTTCCAATTGGAAAAATCAAACAGAAGAACAAAGAATGATTTCTAAGTACAGTTTTGATGAAGATAAAAATAAAAACCTTAAAATGAAAATGTGACAGATTATTATATAAAATAACGAGGCAAAGAGAAATCCAGCCATGGGTCAAATTAAGAAGTTAACAATGCCATGCTTCTTTTAACACATAAATGAAACTGAAGTAACAAATGTACAGATAGATAATACAGGAGACATAGATCCAAAAGCTAGGCTATATAACCTGGGCTTAAGTCTATTCTTACATTACATCAAGTACAACACACTATGACAAAACATAAAACAAGGCACAATGAACACCACAGCTAATGTTAGATATTTGCACAACAAGGTCCTAATCAATGCTGATTTCTATGGTAGCCTCCTCATGACTATGGTGTTTCGGTCTAGGTTTATTACATGAAATAGAATAAAAAAGATTAACTTCAATCTGACCTTAACAAAACTCAAACCAGACTACTACATACTGTATGGCTCTAAACTTTTCAGAAAACTTAAGGACAAGTAGTAGGATATGTCAGACAAATTCAAAGCAAAGCTATTCATGAAAGATAAAAATTACCACAATCTACAATTCCAAATACCTATGCACTAACTTTAAAAAGCTATCACAGGAACATTTTAATAATGAAGTGGCAAACTATCATGAAAGATGCCTAACGATTTAATTTATTATTGAATTTTAAAAGCTTAATGAAATAAGAAACCTTATAAATTAAGGAGTTTACCAAAGTTATGACTTTAAGAAAATACAAGCTAAGTACCCTGCAAAAAGTGCAAATACCACACAAATGCTCATACTGTACAATTACAAAGAAGAGCAAATTAAAATTGCAGTTCTTTAACAACTACAATAACTTTGATAAAATTTGCAGCACTTTCCTACATTGCAATTATGACTTGTTTATTGTGCTTCACAGGTAGTAAGTAGGTAGAACATAAATTAGAATCAAGAATAAATCATTTTATGGAACAAGAAAGATATGCCCCAAGTTCATCAAGCTGAGTTACATCTAGTCATCATCAGCTGCCTGCAAGGAAAGCCGCAAGTTGTTTGATGGCCGCATTGGATCTTTAGCCTTGGCAGCATTTGGAAAGCGCTCGTGGTAGCGTTCCAGCCTCAGATATTTGACAGTAACCAATTGACCTGGAAATTATTACAAAGTAATGAAGTAATCATTTAATAAAAGTAGAGTGTAATTATTAATACCTAATGAAGCTAACATACTCCTAGAGCATACTTACTGTCAAACCAAGATCCATGTAGAGCTTGATAAGCTTTTCCAGCATCATCATCAGATGCACATTTCACATAAACACACCCCTCTTTGGATGATTTATCAACATGAATGTGTAGAATTTTTGCATTCAAGCACTTTTCAAGGATTGCATCTTGTACTTGAAGTTGCCAATTCTCCCCACTTTCCCTGTTCAGATAAAATGTTTATAGACAAGACTTGTAATGACAAAAGACTATTTGAAAAAAGAACCTTCAGCAAACAGCCTTCTTTTGAGTACGTATATTGCTTTACTTGACTTATAAATATTCTACTCTTCAAAAATAATTTAATATTTTAGTAAAAATACAAGGAAAAGAGTGAAAATGACGATTTACTCACATGTCAGGGTCAAACATGTGACGAATCTTCAGGCAAGGAGTAGGAGGATTGGCCAAACTATTAACACTTTTGTCTGTGAGTCCGAAAGCTTTACCTTGCCAAACCTGACGATGTCTAAAATAAAAAATATCAATGTAATATTACACTTTGAGAAGTCACAGAAAATTATCATCAAAATTAAACTTCACAAACCTAGGCTGAGGACTCGTTGAAGGAGACCCTGCTGACGAGCTTGCAACTGAGGAGTTCAGCTTGGGAGGAAGCCAACGCCACACTTTATAGTCCTCGCCATTAACAGGCTGAATTTCTTCTCGAACACGTGACTCTTTCTTATCAATGAAGGCAACAGCAGCATCCCAAATAGATTTTAACTCTGCAGAAAATGAGGTGTATATATAAATATTAGTTTTACAGGTAGTTAATTGAAGAATTAGATCATTTTGTACAGTCAATCAAAACACCGTATGACATACTTTCACGACTCTGAGGGGGGATTAGCTGATCACGGACATGAATTACAGGAACATAAGCACTTTCGCCTGTGTTTTGATGTTGGCTTGATAGGTATTCAATGATTCTCTCAACATAGTGGTAAACGTCTTGCTGTTGCTTTCGACGAGCACACATCCACCATTGAACCCCACGCCATACTCCATAAAGAGCAAAAAAACCTATGTTGAAGACAAAATTATAATTGAAGTTCAATAGTTTCACCAAAATCCATACTAAAAATCATATCTGAAACTTACCGCACATGATAAACAAGCCTGAACTCAGTAATGAAAACAACTTATTCTTTAGAATACATTTCCAGGGAATTTTAGGACTTGAGACTTGCAGCTTAGTTTTATCTGGATGTCTTACAACGTTATCCAGGACTGAAACTCCCCAATGAGGATTGGAAGATAGAAGTACTATCAGATTGGCAACTTGTTCTTCAGCTTCCCAGATGCTCTGTGTTAAGATACGGAATACATGTTAACATTGATTCCATCATTATGATATATGAAATGAATGAAATAAATATTTAAGAAACAATACCAATCCTTGATGCTCTACAACTGCCTGAACAGTTTCACGCTCAGTGAGGTAAGGTGCTGGATATGATCCATCATGAAGGGATGGACCACATTCTGACTTCACAGCTTGGCTCATTAAATCAAGGAAAACATTTTCAAAAATTTTCATTGCTGGTGCAACACCACTTTTTGTTACACAAGTAACCTAGAGGAGGAAACAGGGCTACTTGGTAAAAATTGATGAAGCTGAGGGGAGTACTAAAAAAAAATCACATTAATTGAAGAGAATACTTACACCAGGAACATCATCACCAGGAGATTCCTTGCAAATATTGTAGACATTTCCTGAAAAGATACACATAGAAATACATGTTACTCTATTGCTCAGTATAAATTCAATCACTACCAATTTCATGACTTTAACTGACAGAAAACATACCAACAGAGCTTTCTTCTATTAGATTATTAGCGGATTCTTTAGATGCCACATTTACATACAGTGTAACCAGAACAATGGCACAGAGCACAAAGCAGCCAATAATTACAGATGACATCACCTGCAAAACAGATTGAGATTTGAATCTGTGCCAAAACAAGGTTCAGTGTACAAAAGAGATCATGAACTTTAACATACATGAGAGTTATTCCAGAAGCTTACTGTTTCTTCAGATGTTTTGAATGATCTTGAAGGATCGATTCTTCTCATTGGTACCCTAGTTGGCCCTGCCAAACTAAGATCCAAGACAAAATAAATTACAATACAGCAAAACATAACGATTTAAGAGCAAAATTTGTAAATGACAATAATTACCTGCGCCTATAATAATGACCATTTGGTGGAGTGGATGCAGACACACTATCATCGCTACTTGCGTCAGACTCTTTTACATTGTCGTATGAATCACCATTGAATGGGGAGCCTGTGAGATTAAAATATTTAGAGAAGATTAAAATTGTGATTCGTGGCATGACAGGACACTGGCAAAGAAAAGTAACAAAAACATTGCATACCAATAGGTTGTGCTTTTAGCTGAGACAACCGACGGGCAAATGCAGATAGGAATGGTGCATCTGTGACATCTGGGCTTGAATCTTTTCCAATATTCATGCGATGCTTGACATTACTAAATTCTGGAGAGCTCAGTCTTGCTGTTCCACTGTTTGGCAAAAATCTGTCGGAGAGGTTGGACAGCAGTGTTGCAATGGGCTTGTCATCGTCATCCTCTTCCTCGTCGTCCTGACTATCATCCTGGAGGGGTGATTTGCGAGGACTGGTACTTAACCTCACACTACTGATGGAAGGGACGGGCACGTCCGAGTCGGACCCAGAGTCGAACCCATTGCCAACGGGGTGCCTCAGGGATGGCCTGAGCGGGGACGACGTTGCGATGGACTTGCGCGTGTTGCGAGGGGGTGTCGGCAGGGCGGCTGACAGGGGGATGGCATTCTTCCTGAGGGCCGCCTCATTCATTGAGTACCTGCCCCTGGCCGGTTGGGTCGCGGCCGCGGCCGGGGGCGGCGGGCTGGGCATGAGGAGGTTATCCGCCACCTGAGCCTCCCTCGCCGCGGCCTCCGCGGCCCTCGCGGACCGCCCCATGGACTTCCTCTTGACGGCCTGAGGGGCCGGCATACTTTTACGACGAGCATTGGACAGAGCATCGTCGCTGTCCTCCTCGGCGGAGCTGAAGCGGGATAGGGTACGGTTCACTTTCGGGGCGGGGGAGGCGGTTTTGCTGGGCTTGCCTTTCGATGACATCAACGCCATCAGCTTCTTCTCCATAAGCTTACGGGTTGTGCCCGTGACAGGGGGCGCTTCGAATCCATGTTCAATCAACTTTTTCCGCAGCTCACTGTCCGATAAGTCTTCCACCGACGCCATTTTCACCAGACAGACTCACTCACAGCGCTGTTGCGCCGAGCAGGACAAACCGGCTAAACACAACATAGAGCTCACACTCTGGGAGGGGCGACTGGAGGTGTGGTGGGGGGGCTGTGGCGGTGGCGGACGGCGGCCGGCGCGCTGTGTTTGAGATTATTTGGGAGACTTGTCGAATGATTGCGTAATGATATGGTTCTGAGGCTTTACCGTATTGAACGCCTGCTTCCCGACTGCTTGTGTAGGGACGGTTAACTACTAGAAAGCTCTTTTGTTGGCTAGACCCAACAAAACAACGCCAACGAGCGCGGCCTCTCTACGAGGCTACCTGCTGGCTCCTCCTCCGCCGGTTGGCGCCTTTTTCAGGCGCGGCAATGATTGAGCTAAACCAACCTGAACGGGGAAGGGTGCCGCCCGCCTCGTGAGCACATATAGACAGGCGATTCACTCACAAAAGTAAAAGAGCGTCTGGCTTATCACGCTTATCACCGGCCTAGTAATTTTCCGCCCGAATCGCAGAGTCTACTTCTACTACTCACGGTTCACAATGGAGCAGCAAGCAGCAGTGGTCGTCCACTCGACGCGCCCGTGTCAGAGTTACCACGGCGGCGGCAGGGCGGGCACCTTCCGCGTTGGTGGAAGTCCATCGGCGGATTGTAAAGGTATTTGAGTGCATCATCTCACAATATGAGGCGTCTGGCTAAATCCATGCACGCAGTATGATAATGTCATTTGTGACCTGGTCACACTGAAGTCAGGTAAATGTGTTCTTTGTCACCGTGTCGTTTGTCCAACGCTTGTACAGTGTGATAAGCCGCGAAGATTTGAGCGCACTCGTGTCTGGCGGGTGTGCCGATTCGGAACAGACCGTTGCCCCCCGCATCTCAGTCTTCTCACGGCGTTCCTCGAGGACGCCCACCCGTTGGTCGAAGAAGACCCCGAGGATGACCAAGTTCGGCGCGGGCCCGGGCTTCGGCTGGCGGCACATCCAGCTGCTCATCATGTTCGCCTCGGCCAGCACGGCGATCACCATGAGGGTGTGCCTCTCGGTGGCCATCGTGGTCATGACGGGCCCGGACGAGGGCGACGGCTTCCCGGTAACCTCCATCGGAACCGCCCAGAGAACACGAAAATGTTACGAATGGGTCTTTTCCGCGGTCATATTTCAGTCAATAAAACGTCAAAACGACTGGAGTTTTGGCCCAAATTTCCACCTTTCTCGTGACCAAATTAGTCCTTTGGATGTCAATATTATGGCGTCCTCGTGAGTTTTTTAGACAGTCCCTTGTGGCTGTCTCTACCCGAAGGTAAAAGTTTCCAGTTTTGATAAAGATGGCCGATTAACCTGATTAACGTTCCAGTTATGATAAGCCGATTGACGTTGATCA